GGTCCTGGGTCTGCCTCCTCGCTTTAGTCATATTTACTATCTCTTCATTGACCATAACTGTCTGCTGGCGAGGCCCAGGTGAAAAAAAATGCTGCCTCCACCCTTAGCATAGCCTTTCTCAGGAGAAAAATGTTCCTCATTTAATCTTTGGGAACCCTTAACCACTCCAGGACAGTTTTTGTCCTCTGAATGTCTTTTGTGAACTGTCCTTCAGGTTTTAAAGCCTTCCAGAAACTCCTTAGTACTGAATTTGGTTTTCTATCAATTTTTTCGTTAGGAACTTGGGTTCAACATAAATCTTGCCACATTTGTCTTCAAGTAACCCAAACGGACCTCTTTTTTGTCTTGTCTTTTTTTATATCTCTTGTGGGTTGTTCTGTTATTCTACAGACACGCTTTACATGTTGGTTTGAGTCACTTAGATCTGCCAAAGCCTCCCTCACTTTACAGAGATCTTGTCCCATTAAAGGACTTAGCAAAATCATTAAAGCTCTATACCATTCTCGAGGACCCAGTTGAATTAGGTTTTCCTTTACATAGCTGGTGAACACAGCCCTATCTGGCCCAGTTCTCTGGGCATCAAATATCGCTTTTCTCATACCTAGTTCTCTCAGTAACACCTGTCCCTCTTTTAAAGTTCTCCAACCCCTGCTAATCAGATTCTTGATGACCAAGTATCTTTAATGCCTTGCACAAGCCATTTCATTAGGGACTGCTCCCCTGCTGTATTGGCCTAGGTTAAACAGCCTATGTCTCAAGGACAGATGAGTGATACTATAACTCAGCTGTGATGCTTCTGAAGGACTTAAACTAATATTATTTGCTCCCATGTCGCATACCCTTATGAGCCTCATGGTGAGGGACTTTTTAATTGTTTGAAAGTCTTTCCTAGTCCCAATAGCTCCAGTGTGGAGTATTTTCTCTTAGCTACAGTACTGTTAACTTTTTCCTCTTTTTTTTTTTTTTGAGACAGGGTCTCCCTGTATCCCCAGCTGGCCTGGAGCTCACTATGTAGCCCAGGCTGGCCTTGAACTCAAAGAGATCTACCTGCCTCTGCCTCCCGAGTGCTGGGATCAAAGGTGTGCGCCACCTCGCTTGGCTTAACTTTTTCCTCTTTTTGTATCAAAGTTTGAATCTGAGGGGAAGCTTTAGCTACTTTTATTTCTAGGTTGTTTCTTTTCTTATTACTATCTGGCTCTTTCCTGGGTCCTTTGACTCCTGTTCCCCTTAACCTTAAGCAAGTTAAACTCTCCCTAAAGGAAAACTGCAAGTTTAACTGTATCTGTCTGATGGCATACATGATGAGAACAGACAAACCAGTATCTTGACATCCTTCCTATGTGGTAGTTTAGATTTTGTGTTCTAAAGCCCTTTCTGTAAAAGGATAGACAGTAAATACCATTTCTAACACAATTACTTAATTCTGCCATTGCAATGCCAAGGCAGCCTTAGAGGATGTGGAGGAATGAGCATGACTTGTGTTTTAATAAGACTTTATTGATGGACACTGAAAATTACTTTTTAATCATTTGCACATGTCAAAGTTCATCCTGTGCCTTTTTCGGCTATCTAAAAACGTACAAAACTGTTATTACTTTATAGGTTGCGTTAAAAACTAGGGTGTATTCAGTTAGTTTTCCATTGACCAAGGCAGTTTACAGAAGGAGGAGCTTATTTGGTCTATGGTTCCAGAGGGATAAGAGTCCATCATGGAGAGGAACAATGACAGCAGATGTGGCCAGAGCAGAAAGCTGAGAAAGCTCACATTAAGAACACAGGCAGAAAAGAGAGAAACTCAAAGTGGGGCAAGACTAATGAACTCTCAAAGCCTGCCCCAGTGACCTGCTTCCTCCAGCACAGCCATATCACCTAACATTCCATGGCCCTCCGCAATCAGTGCTGGAGACAAAGTGTTCAAATACTTGGAGCCTATGGAGGACACTCTCATTCAAACCACCACAGTGTATATGCATGTGTGCATGTCTATCCCTCTCCATATTCAGCATGTGAGTTCAGAACCTTGTTCTTTTGTAAAAATTTTATTGAATTTTTACGTAGTTCATACAGATCTTAATCATCTTTTTACCCCCTTCCCCACAAGCCCCTACCATTGGATTTCATGCATTCTTTCATTTGTGTTAAGGTTTATCAAGTCAAGTTAGTGTTCCCAGACATCCCTCAGTGCAAGTTCATCCATTGAGGTCTAGTCAGTCTATCTGGAGTCCCTCCCTTTAAGAAGATCAGCCCTTCCTCACGCAGCAGTAATCAACCTCCAATGTTTCTTCAGCCAAGATTGAGCCTGCTGCCCATTGCCACAGATTTATGCTGGGTTTCAGTCTGCTTGGGTTTACATGGGTCTTATGCATGCTGACACCATCATTCTAAGTTCATATGAGCAAGGTCCTGGGAGCCTGTAAGACTCTATTTCCATATGGTCATGCACCACCTCCCCAGGCTCTTGCAGTCTTTCTGCCCCCTCTTCCACAATGGTGTCTGAGCCCTGGGTAGGTAAAGTTTAATATAGGAGTCCTGTTCAAGGACCCACACTCTGCAGACTCTTATTCTCTAGGCTTTGGGAATGTATTGTCCTTTGTGTTCATTGCCCTCTGTTGCATGAGGGAGTTTCATTGATGAGAGTTGAGACATGCATTAATATTCTCTCTACCCCTTGTTCCACTATGTTCTGTAAGCCTTACTTGTAGAGGATCCTTTGTGTCACTTAGGGTTGGACATTTCACAGATACTTAATCGTGACCAGTTGTGGAACTCTGTAATAGTCTCCATCTTTTGCAAAAGAAACTTCTTTGATGAGTGGTGACTGTTGGCATACTTGTCTGTAAATAAAAGGATCCATAGTTAGCACATAGTAAGAGATTACATTTGTCTAGGCATATGATAGCCTTGGGATTTTCTCTAAGATCTATGAGCTCTCCAGTTATGTATATTTTGCTATGTTTACAGTACCACACATGAGTTCCCTCCCATTGAGTGGGCCTTAAGTCCAAGTAGGTAGTTGTTGATTTCCTCCAAGATAAAAGTTCCACTACTGCTCTAATATAGTTTGTTGTACCAGTCACTGCTATGGTTATTAGGCCTTAAATCAGGGGTTGGACCATGGATTGATATTCTTTCTTAGTAGCTTGTATAGTGTTCCCCAAAACTATGAGAACAGGAGGTGGTTACTAGGTCAGTTACAGCTCCATTGCTCCAAGCCCTGTGTCTGAAGTATGTCCAGTCTTCAGCAATAGGCTCTTACCCTAAAGTTCTGGGAGCTAATCAAGGGCTGTGACAATAGCCTGTGTACTTTTGGGAGTCTCTTGGGTGACCTTGGCCAACAACTTGAAGGTAGGTTTCCTCTATCTGACACTGTTTCTTGCTATATAGTCTTCAGATTTACATATACACTCATGTAGAGGTACTGTGTGTGTAATTTTTCAGTAGGTTTTTGAACTAATATGTTTCCCTCTGGTTTTTCACACCAGCTAGACATTATTTATCTCCTCCCTATCTAACCCTCCGTTCTCTATCCCCAATTAAAGGACCCTCATTTTCCCCATTTCTCCCTTGATAATACCTGTCTCCTATGTCCCCCCCCCTTGAACTGCTTCTTCATCTTTACCCCTATAGTTTCTTGTGTAACCTCTCTCTCTCCTCCTCCTCCTATTTAAATACTTTCATTTTACCCATTTCTACCTTGGTATCTCCTACTGCTCCTCTCTCTCAGGTCCCTTCTTTTCTTTTATATCCCTGGTTCCTTTCCATTTTCCTGGCTCTTGAAGTCACATCAGGATATATACCCACATATAAGAATTTCATGCTAAGGTCCACAAATGAGGGAGAACATAGGTCGTTTGTTTTTCTGAGTCTGTGTTGCTTTACTTAGTATAACAGTTTCTAGATCCATTCATTTACCTGCAAATTTCATGATTTCATTTTCGCTGAGTAAAACCCCATCGTATAAATGAACAACTTTTTCATTATCCACTAATCAATGGAGGGACACTTAGGTTGCTTCTATCTTTTAGCTATTGTGAAGAAAGCAGTAACAAACATGGATGTGCAAGTGTCTCTGCAATTGGATGAGTTCTTTGGGTATATGCCAAGGAGCAGTATAACTGGGTCATATAGTGGGTTCATTTCTATTTTTTTAAGAGTTCTCCACACTGCTTTCCTTAGTGGTTGCATGAGTTTGCCATCTTAGCAGCAGTGAATGAGCATTTAAGAGTTCTCCACACTGCTTTCCTTAGTGGTTGCATGAGTTTGCCATCTCAGCAGCAGTGAATGAGCATTCCCCTTTCCTCACGTCCTCTCAAGCATTTGGTATTATTTGTTTTCTTGATCTTAGCCAGTCTTACTAGGGCAAGATGAAATTTTAAAGTGGTTTTAATTTGTACTTCCCTAATTACTATAGATGTTGAACAAACACTTTTTAAGGTGTTTCTTCTTACACAGTCTCTTTTGTCCTCTGAATTAACTCTCTTACACATATAAACCTGTTAGTCTTACTATCACATACAAAAATAGAAAATAATACTATAACTATCTTCGTCCTTACCATCTATCTCAAGAAATAATCATTTTAGTTCACTCAAAGTCATTTGTGTAATCTTCTCGAACTCTTCCTCTTCCTCCCAACATGAACTACCACTACAAATTTAGAGTCTATCTTTTCCCTGCTTGCTTTACCATGTATCATGCATCTATAAACAATATAAACTGTTGGTTAGCATTATTTAAATTTATGTAAATTGTATCATATCCTATATACCTTTATGCAACTCCGTTTTTACCTCAACATCATGCCTTTGAAATTTATTTATTTTGCCAAGAGCAGTTCTAGTTGGTTTGAACTGTCAGGGAAATCAGACCTACTAGTGGTTGTATGGCAATAACAGAACCCCCTTGGAAATCCACTCAGACCTACAGAATCAAAATCTGTATTTGAACAGGATCCTTGCATAATCCACATTCACAATACATTTAAAGAAATAGTTGCACACTTACTTTGGCAGTACATATACTAAGATTGGAAGAACGCAGAGAAGATTAGCATGGCTCCTGTGCAAGAATGACAAGCACGTCCCTCCCATAGCCTATCCATTCATCATATTATCACTATGAGGCGTTCCTTATCTTTACTCAGCAAAGAAAAATAAAATCATAAAATCTGAAGGCAAATGGGATGGGACTGGAAAGTGTTTCATGAGTGTGGTGGTTTGAATGAGAAATGTCCCCCATAGGCTCACATAATTGAACTTTGGTCCCCTTTTTGTGGCACTGTTTGTAGAGGTTTGGGGATGTGTGGCCTTGCTAGAGGAAGTATGTCACTGGAGGTAGGCTTCGAGAGTTCGTAGCCGGTCTCATTTCTGGTTTCACTCTTTCTGCTTCCTGTTTCCTGTTAGTGGTGTGAGCTCTCGGCTTCTTGCTTTTGCCCCATGCTTGCTGCTTGCTGCCATGACTCTCTCTCTTCCTATGGAACTCTAAGCCCAAATAAACTCTATCTTCTGTAAGTTGCCTTGATCATGATGTTTTAACATGTAGTTAATTAAAAAAGAAAAGTAATTAATAGAATGAGCAAAACCTGTTGAAGCATGTGTGTAAGCTAGTGAGGGAGTAGTTTCATTCCAAGGCTAGAATCATAATGTAAATTGCTCAACAGCTCTCATTGTACAAAACGTGTCTTATTTTCTTACCTCTACTAATCTGACTAAAATCCTGAATGTATTGACCAAGTCAACAAAATGTTCAGTGTCATTCATTTTCATGATTTTCTTATCCTTGATTCTACATTAGGATCTTTGACTTCAAAGCTAAGAATTCAGTTATCTATCAATGTTGAGGTTACTCCCTGATCAGGCCTACAAAGGTCTTTTGAAAACCATGAACAGTGACCTCTTCACAAAGCTCTATTGAGTCTGATGATAGCCACTGTCCTCCAAAACATGTATTCCCTTCAAGGTCCTGCCACCTCCAAGGTATTATATCTCAGCATGAGTTCACTGGGCACTGAAGCCCTTCTGCATCTGACTCAGAGTCTCAGGGGTCACAGTTGAGCCTAGAACAATTTCACAGTGACAACACCGGCTCTACTGGTATCTGGTCATCTCTGCCATACCTCAAACTTCTGTTCTGTTCTTTAGAAGCCTGTTAATTGCCTTGTGTTTCTAGAAAGTACAGAGAACAAAGAAAAATAATACTAAGCCCCAACTTATTTCTAATAGCTTAATTTATTACAGGCTTAACATTTGCTAAGGCTGAAGACCTAACTCCAGGAAGCCAACTCAGCTGTCTTCATGAAAAATTGTCTTAAACACTGAGTCATTTCTTTTTTTAAACTTATCTGCACCACTCTAATACCTTCCATTTTATAAATTACAAAATTGGCACAAAAAGAATAAATGGCCTAACCATGTTCCAAAAGTTGCTTTAGAAAGAATGAAGTCAGATTTTCTCAGAAAAAAATAAATGCTTTGGTCAATGGCTTCACTAGTGTGATGCAGAGGGGATACACTGGGACCCCCCTTCTTTGGGCCCCATGGGGTGCATTCAAACTGCTACCTCAGAGAAAAAGCTGTAGTCTAGTCACACAACCTTGGCACGCAGTCCTAAAGAATTTCAAAACAAATGAAAACATTTGTTTATCTAGACCAGGCAACAACAAATCAGTCAGGAAGATTGACAGGTTGTGTGACAGTACAATCTATTGTGTCAGCAATTACTAAAAACTTGCTAAAGTAGACACAACTGGTTGACAGTAGGTAGGTAGCAAAATTCCAAGTCTTGGGCCCAAGCAACTCAATTTACCATGTTCTCTGCCCTCCAGATGCCCTGCACTTTATCTTCTTTCATATTTAAAATCAATATGGTAACCATCTTATTCATAAGAGAGCTAAACCTCAGGGGGAAAGAAGGGACTCACAGAAATGATAAATAAAAGAACCGAGCTGGCCTCAGGTGGAGCTTCTACTTCCAAGACCAATTTTCTTTCCTGTATGCTTCAATTATTAGGCACCAAAGATGCCAGTCCGTTACAGATTCCCCACACTAGCGAGCCCCAAAGAACTTATATCAGCAGCAGTCCTCCAAGTTCCCTGTGTCACATAGCCCTTTTCTACTATGTCCCATAGCCCTTTTCTACTAGCCTGAATTCCAGCCATCTGAAAAGGAACTGAAATATTTCTGGGAGACATAGTCAGGAAAATGTCTGTTCCCACTTGGACATGAATTCTAAAGTACTACTTCTTGTCAGGCGTCTGCTGAGTGCTGAGTGCTGTCAGATCAGTTGGGCAGCATTCTTACCCCAAACAACTGTTGGACATTGGGCATGAGCCTCTGGCACAACTGGGACACCAAAACACCCAAGACTGCAGATTTGAACTTTGTTCCTTATAACATTCTCTCTCTCTCTCTCTCTCTGTCTCTCTCTCTGTCTCTCTCTCCCCCTCCCTCCCTCCCTCCCCTCTCTCTCCCTCCCTTTCTCTCTTTCCTTCCCTCCAACCCCCTCCATTCCATTAGAAAAATACCTAAACAAGGAGTATTTCCTGCACAGGTGTTTCAGTAAAATCTCTTATTACTTTACTTGGGTCTTTGTCCTGACTCCAGTCCGCACAGTAAGTGGGAACAATGAGGACAGGAATGTGGAGAACCAACCATCTTTCAGATACGTCTCTCTTCTCTTATGTAATGTCCAGGCTTTACTCATTAATCAAATTTTCAGATTCTCCTTCCCTGTAGCTATCCATGTGAGGAGGTTTATGGTCCTGCTACTGTACCTTTTTGGCTCATCTGAGGCTGGACCAAGACAGCCCCAGAGAGAAAAGTTCTGGGTTAAGCATTGTGCTTATACTCACATTCTTCTCCTAAGCATACAGGGCAGTGCTATTACCACCATTTACATGCAAGGAAGCTGACTCTTCAGGACTTTAAACTAAAAGACCATACAGATCTTCAGTGGGTGATTGTTCTACACTGTCTCTGGAGCCCACTGTCTTCTCTCTGTATGTGTGTTTGTGGGGTGGGGGCTAAAGTGACTTCTAGGCCATATTATTTCCCCCCAAAATCCTGATTTCCACTTGGGTGCCCTGTGCCATGTATGAAAAAAAGATGATGATAAGAAGCAGACATCTTCACCTTCACAAGGCTTACAGTGAGAGAGGAATCAAGCAATCGTCACTCACAGCTGTAGTCATGTGATGCCTGGCATCAGGTGTATGTCTGTCATCTACGGCTATGTAAGACCAAAGGCAGCTATGAACACAATCATTTTTTTAGAGATCTCTTACACACTCAGCGAATTAATGTGCACATGTGAGTGTTTGGCAAAGAAGGGCAGAATTTACTCTACCTACCACTCTGTTCCACCCCAGTCTCTGTGAGAGAACCGCTATGAAGCTATTCATTTCAAAATGAAAATGTGTCATTTGCCAGAGGTAACCTCATATGGTCACACTATGGTATGAAATCCTAAACCAGGCATGCCGACAAAGAAAGTAAGATGTTTGTCGACAAGGTTGTGCAAATATTTCCTACAGTATCATTTTGCCTCAGGCTACTCCAAGAGAACTCTGACTTTCAAACCCAAGGCAGTTTTAACTGCATTTTATAAGAAAATATGCTTGGAAAAAGTAATATAAATAAAAGGTTGGAATATTTCCTTTGAAGGAAATATACATATGTTTTATATATATACACAT